AAAAAAGACAGGCACAGAAAGAAAAAAAAGGAAGCCACAGTCATGAGTTTTCCATGACTTACCCATCTATTGTCCCTTTGTCCCAGGTCTCCAGCTCCTGCCCCACTTGAGAGGAGACAAAGGAGGCAGGGATCTAACCAGGACAGGACCAAAGCAGTGAGGAGATTCATTCATCCATGCACACAAATACCCACTGAGTGCCCACTCTGTGCCAGGTATTATTCTAGACATTCAGGAATGGAATCAAGAAGAACTGGATTAGGCTCCCCATAAACTACACCCCCCCAAGTCCATTACTAGCTGTAATTTGGTTAATTTGGAGTCAGAGTCAGTGGTCTGCTCCCCTCAGTGAGGAATCCCTTATACCTAGAGGAAAGGGCCTTGGGCAGTTTGAATCAGAAGGTGGGCCACAGGCTGCCTGGGAATCACCCAGGAGCACGCTGAGAACCCAGGCCGCTGGCCGCACTCTTGCAGAGGCTAATCTCAATCAAGATGGAACCCAGGAAACTGTTCTTTTTTGTGTGTGTGTGTGAATAGCAGATAAATTGAAGTAAGGTGTGGATTTTAATTCTTTTAATTAACATTTAATAATTATACATATTTATAAGGCATGGTATGGTATTTTGATACATGCACATAATACTTAATGATCAAATCARGATGATTAGCATATCCATTYCCTCAAACATTCATCATTTCTTTGTGTTGAAAATATTCAAAATCCTCAGTACTAGCTATTTTGAAATAGGTAATTAATCATTGTCAACCATAGTTATACAACTGTGTTATAGAACATTAAAAGTTATTTCTGTTATTCAACTGTAGCCCCAAATGGTTAACACAACCATCTCTCTCATCCCCTTCCCACCCTTCTCAGCCTCTAGGAACATCCAATTTACTCTCTACTTGTAGGAGATCAGCCCTTTTAGCTTCCACATATGAGYGACACATGTGACRTTTGTCTTTCTGTGCCTGACTTATTTCACTTAACAGAATGTCCTCCAGGCTCATCCATGTTGCCTCAAGTGACAGGATTTTATTTTTTAAAATGACCATTGTTTATATACCACATTTTTTTAATCCCTTAATCTGTTGATGGATACTTAARTTGATCAGGGGTCTGTATTTTTAAACAGGTGACTGTCATGTGTTGCCAGGTTTGGAACTACAGATCCAGATGATTTCTCAGATCCCTTCCAGGTTGAAAATCATTTAATGCAGGATCTTTGACAAATGGCCTTGGGAGATTTGGTTAGATCTCTCTTTACCTGGATAACAGTTAGTTCTATATTTTTATTATCACACTAAGTCCTTCAAATGCCTCCCACTGGCAGAGCCCAGCTAGAAGGCAAAGGCCAGGTGGATGCAACCCACATGGCTCAGCATGTGGGCAGTGTGGAGAGTGCTGGGGGACCAGGAGGGGCRAATGGAGATCACCAGCACCCTCCACCCTCCTCACAACGATCTGTGGAAGTTTCTGGCAGCTCTGCTTCAGATGAAGCCATTACACATTCTTCCTTGGGGGAGGTAGTGGATCAAGGTCTTTCGTTCTCAGAAGCAACAACTTCCTCTCAACTCCCCTGTGGACCAGCCTCGGGCCCAGGGGCCCAGTGACTTCCTCTACCTTCTCTCCCCGGCTTTTCACTTCTTTACCCAGCAACAGCTACATTACCTCAGGCAACAGCTCTGATTGGCTGCAGATAGCAAGGGTCTCCCTCTAACTAAGACTCCTCTTCTTCTTCTTCACCTCCATCTCGTTCCTGTATTCCCCACAGACCTGGGCTTACTTGGTCAAAACCCCAGAGGGCAATGGCCCTCCGTGCTGGGCTGGTCCTGGGACTGCACACCCTGATGACCCTCCTCTGTCCCCAGAAAKCAGGGGCCATCAAGGGTGAGTGCTGAGGGCCCCAGGGGAGCAGAGGAGATTTAGGGATACAGCATAGAGGATGCACGTTCCTGTCACTCTCTGGTTTGTGGGCCACTTCTTCCACTTAGAAATCCCCGATCCTCCACCCCAAGTTCCTCCTACCTCTATGGCTTTTCTCTCATTCAGATTCCTCCCCATTCCTTCCTCCTTTCTGAGACCCCAAGCTCCACCCCCCTGCTGTCCAGCACCCTGGCTTCTCTACCACTTCCTGACTTGGAGTGTGTCCACTCCAGTCCAGCTGCATTGCAGYATTTAACACTCACTGTGTCTAGACGTGCGCTCTCGGTGTGCACGTCCACAGCTGGCTTGTCTTTTTTATTTCCTTGGCCTGGCTTTGTGCTGGACACACAGTGCTCCTTCAGTGCTCAACAAATAACTGCAGAGTTCTAAAGGAACCTTACCAATTAAGACCCGTCCCCTAATTTCCAGGAAACTATGCACTTAGTTATGGRACAAGATGTGTTCAGCCTTTCTTCTCTGAGATGGCAGAGTTGGGACATGAACCTTGAGCTCCTGTCCAGTGCTCTTTGCAATGCCTGGAGCTGCCTTGATGGATGCCCCTGGTCTGTGTCACAGATCTTAATTCTTGCTCCTGCCAGTCAGTGCCCATTTTCCCCCACCCCCATCTACACYACACCTCTGTAGTGAGAGCCCCATTTATGCTCTTGTCCTTAATCATTTCCACCCCAACTCACCGTCTCACACACTCACACACAGGACCTGACGGCATAACCAGAGCACATGACTATGGCTGAGACTTTTAACTTGAGAAAATCTAAGCACCATCTTAGGCAGCTTCACCTCTTCCTAGGCTGTTCTGCCAGAACGTACCCATGGTGTGCGGGGCATGAGCACGCTCTCTTTCTTCTGCCCTTCTGCAGCCCTTCCACTCCTCCAGGGCCAGCTCACTGTCAGAACAGAACTCTGTCCCCACACTTGACCCAGGATGGGGCTCAGGCTGAGACTCCACACATCACATATCATGGATGAGGCTGATACCTTTTCTCCTTTCTCCTGGCCCTGCCCTCACCCAATACAGCTGACCACATGGGCTCCTATGGACCAGCCTTCTTCCAGTCTTATGGTGCCTCGGGCCAGTTTACCCACGAATTTGATGGAGACCAGCTGTTCTCTGTGGACCTGAAGAATGGGGAGGTTGCATGGCAACTGCCTGAGTTTGGCGATTTCACACACTTTGACCCACAGAACGGACTGGCCAGCATCGCCATCATCAGAGCCCATCTGGATGTCCTGGTGGAACGCTCCAACCGCACCAGAGCCACCAGCGGTACCTGCCCCCCTCCCCCAATCCAGCCAAGCAGGAGGGGCCCAGAGAAGCTTTTTCCCATTCCCTGGCCTCCCTCTCTCTGGCACAAGTTCTCTCAACCAGTCAGTCCCCTTCTTTCCCTGGGAGCTCTAGGTCTTCTCAGACCTCTCAGTCAGCCCCCTCCCTGTCCCCAGCCTCCTCTCCCTCCCCAGCCTCCTTTCCCCTTGTTCTTCTCCCCTCTGCTCCACTGGTTACCATCCTGAGCGCCCCCTGCCTGCAGGTGTCTAAGTAGGAGGAAGTGTCCCTTAATCCCAGTCCTAACAAGGCCCCGTGGTAAGGGATGGGCCTCTGAGAGTCAGGGATTCGTTCCTCCTAGTGCCTCCAAGGGTGATGGTCCTCCCCAAGTCTCGAGTGGAGCTGGGTGAGCCCAACATCCTCATCTGCATCGTGGACAACATCTTCCCTCCTGTGATCAATGTCACCTGGCTGCGCAATGGTCAGACCATCACCGAGGGAGCGGCCCAGACCAGCTTCTATGCCCAGCCCGACCACTTGTTCCGCAAGTTCTCTTACCTGACCTTCGTGCCCTCAGCAGAGGACRTCTACGACTGCAAGGTGGAGCACTGGGGCCTGCCGGAGCCGCTCCTCACGCACTGGGGTACGGAGCTCCCCTCCAGCCCCCCTGCTCAGGCCTGTGTTTCCTTCATGACAGAGTCCCCCTGCTGTGCCCCCTGACCCTTCCTTTCTCTCCCAGAGCCCCAGGTGCCTGTCCCACCACCAGACACCACAGAGACCCTGATTTGTGCCATGGGCCTGGCCAYTGGCCTGATGGGCTTCCTCATGGGCACCATCCTCATCATCACAGGGACATGCATGTCCAGTGCCCCCAGGTGCAGAAACGTCTGAAGTCTGGGGGTGGGGGCAGGGCAGTTATGGGATGGAGGTGGAGAGTGAGGTCTCTGTTGGGAGGAAAGGGTGTTAGAGACAAGAGTGGACAAGAATAGCAGAAGTGGGGTGAGGGAGTGGAGTTTGGGGGAGGTGGGCACCCAAATAGAGGATCCTAGAATGGTGAGCTTGAACAGCCTTGGTSACGTGGTGTTTGCTACTTTAGGTAACAACCCTTCTGAGACAGACTGTGGGAGACAACGTATGGATTCCTCGCAGATTTCTGACAGCTTTTGTATCCTCAGCGCCACAGCGTACGAAGCACCCTGAATGGCATCAACCTCTGTCCCTGAAGTCCCCTCCTTTCTGACCTCAGCACTTACACCTGTGGGGCACAGCCACTCCCCTTCCTACTCCAACACAAACACACACCTTGCTCTGCCCAAAGCTCTGACTAGCAGCACCAAATTCTTCAGTGGTGTTGGCCCTTATTCTTTTTACCAGATCTTGGCCAGTACTCCCAGGGTGTGCGGGACACTGGGACCTGAAGAGTGCATCCGAGTGAGGACACACTGGGGATAGTCATTCTGTCTGGTCCAGCTGGGTCTTGCTCCCTTGGGGCCTTCCACAAGGACTTCATGAAATTCRCCTCCTGAATTCAGATTTCCCTGAGAGGGATACAGAGTATCCTGTGCATTGCAAGGCCCTCAAAAAYGTCAGTCCTGAAGGGCACTGGGAGAGGAAAGGTTCCTGGGGCTTCTACCTGTCTGGCCATCCTCTGTAGAAGAGGCCACTGGTGTACCTATGGTCTACAATGTCATTTCCTTTTTCTACATTCCCTATAGCCTCAGGCATGACAAAGAAGCATGCAAAACTTAGAGAGTCGGGGTTGTGGCTCAGTGGCAGAGCGCTTGCCTAGCACATGTGAGGCACCACATGAAAATAAATGACRTACAGGTATTGTGCCCATCTACAAGTAAAAAGAAAAAGATTAGATGGCCACTTTCCTCAATGGAGTCAGTCATATTTGACAGGGGGCAGAACTTATTTAGTAAGAGGGGAGGAGATCCACCTGAGCGCTTCCTAAACATGTGCCCAGGAGATTTCAGTTAACTGTGAACAAAATTAGAAACACAAAGAGATAAATAACCCTACAAGGTAGTTTGTGTCCAGTACCAAATGAGTGTCACAGATTGGTGGTTTTCAAACTAGAATGCACTTAAGAATCTTTAAAAAGTACAGGTGTCACCCAGACTTACTGGTTTAGCATCTCAGATGTGGAGGAGCAGTGACAGGGACTCTACCATTCTACAGATGATTCTCATGCAGCCTTCCTGGACCTAGGCTGTAGGCTGTACATGGGACACCCTGACAGTCTGGTGTTACTGGGAGTCACTGGAGGGGGATCCTGAGGTCTGAGTTGGGCCAGGAAAGCTATCTGGAGAACCTAGGTCTGTTGGGGAATCATMGTTGATCAAGATACAAGTCAAAGAGGCAAGATGGGGGTTTGAACTATGAGTATTTGGTCTTAGAAAAGAAAGAAAGCAAGTGCTGATGAGGATATGATGGGCTTCTTAAAAGAGAATAAGTTGGGAGAAATCACGGACCAGAAGACCCTGGTGGAAGTGGGGAAAGATTGTCTTGGTCAAGGATTTTGTTTGCCAGTAACAAAAACCCTCTTAAAATGATCACATGCAATTAGAGACACAGGGGTGGTGCACAGAACCCAAGGGTGGGTTTACCAGGACTCATGGGAACAGAACTCAGAACCGAAAAGCCAGCAGAACCTGGAGCAGCCCATCTTACACTCTCACTGAGCCACGTGGTCTGCCCTTAAGTCACATTCCTCTCTCTGTGTGGACATTAAGTCACATTCCTCTCTCTGTGGACTGACTGACCCTTCAGCTGACACATTCACACTTTCACTCCTGGGTTTGTCACCTCAGCTCTCACCACCCACACAGACTGTGTCTCCCAGTCACAACTGCAAATTCTTAGAAAAGTAAATGACCGGCCAAACTTGGGGTAGATATACACCCAGTCCAATGGATTTAGAGCAGGGGACAAGATCCCACAGTACAAATGTGCCCGCTGAGCCCCCACCTCAGAGATGACAGGCCTCAGAGAAAGAATTGGCTGGTTGTCAGAAGACACCAGACGTCTCTCCCCGCATTTCCCAATCTCTGCTGTCTTTTGCTTGGGAAGTTCATGCATCTTTGGAGAGTTGTTCTCTCCACTATCCTAAGGCTTAATAAAGTCATTAAAATGTCTTTTAATCAAAGGTGTATGATTTTTTTTTGCTATGCACATATTACCCAGAATACTTTGAACAATTCAAAATTTCTAGAAATAGTTCATAGTTTTTGAGGATACAGTGGTGTACACCTGTAATCCTAGTGACTTGGGAGGCTGAGGCAAGAGGATTGCAAGTTCAAGGCCTGCCTTGGCAATTTAGCAAGACCCTCAGTTACTTAGCAAGACCCTGTCTCAAACTAGAAAATAAAAAGGGCTGGAGATATAGCTCAGTGGTAAAGTGCCTCCGGGTTYAATCCCCAGTATCTAAAAAAGGGTTGTATGTTATTTACTGGGGTGCAGTGGCCCACACCTATAATTACAGCTATTTGGGAATCTGAGGAAGGAGGATTACAAATTCAAGGATAGCAATTTAATGAGACCCCATTTCTAAATAAATAAAGGGTG